TCTCCTTGTCTACTTGCCTCCCTTTCCTTGCCTCCTTGCCTCCTCTCCTAGATGTTGCTCAGGCTCTGGGCGGTGGTCAGCGACCTCCTCCTCACCCGGCCGGACAGTTTTCTGAGCAGCGACTCCCTGAAGGTTCGGCACATCAGGAAGTAGATGATGGGGTCGAGGCAGACGTTGAGCGCCGACAGGAAGAGCGTTCCCTCCTTAAACTGGAACAGCAGGAAGCGAGTGTTGTAGCTATAACCCGACTCCGGCAACTGGCTGTGGGTGTACGGCACCCGGCAGACGTGGTACGGCACGAAGCAGATGAAGAACACCGCCAGGATGCTGAAGATGCTGCGGTTGGACTTGCGGCAGACGTCGCTGTTGTCACGGCGGACGCGGCGGTACGACTGGTAGACGCGGTGGGCGATGGAGGCGTAGCAGAAGGCGAGGACCAGCAGCGTCGCCCAGAACAGCGACACGTTGAAGTACGTGGACACCTTGTGCCACTGGACGCCCAGCGGCGTCTTCAGCTCCATGCAGCGCCGGGAGTTGTTCTCGTTGGCCGGCAGGCTGGTCAGTATGACGTTGGGCATGTTGCACAGCAGCAGGAGGCTCCAGGTGAGCAGCGCCAGAACCCGGGCGAATTTGGCGTTCTGCAGGAACTGCAGCGAAGAGGCTCGACCCAGCCTGGACCTGCAGGAGGACGGGGATGGCGAGGACGGTCGAACGATCTTGGTGTAGCGCTCCAGGCTGATGAGGCCTATGAAGAGGATCCCCACGTACATGGACATGTAGAAGAGCACGGCAAGGTAGCGACAGAAAATGACGTGAAGCCGCCAGCCGCCGAGGTCCAGCTGAAGCGCCAGCCTGAAGGGGAAGGTGGACAGCATGAGCAGGTCGGCCACCACCATGTTCTTCAGGTACACCACCAGGCCCGAGTCAGCAGGAACCCTGAAGAAGATCCAGGCCGCCACGCCGTTCAGGGCCGCGCCCACCACGCCGATCACCAGGTAGAGCGACGGCAGCACCTGGTTGGTGAACACGCTGCTGAAGTCTGATTGGTTGGTGGGGAGGTGGGTGGAGTTGAGGTGATCCATCCCTGGACAAAAAACGCAACACAGTGACGTCATCATGAAGGTCACATGATAACATAAACAGTGATGTCATCATTAGGGTCACATCATGGTCTCTTTGCTGCCATTTTTTTTTTTAAATCTCTTGTTAATTTGTATGTTTATGAGCACTCTTCTGGTGTTTTTAGTGCCTCTATACTGGTGTTTTTATTGCCTCCATACTGGTGTTTTTAACGCCTCCATACTGGTGTTTTTAATGCCTCCATACTGGTGTTTTCATGCCTCCATACTGGTGTTTTTAGTGCCTCCATACTGGTGTTTTTA